AGTCTAATGGCCTGGGCGCGGGCAAACCCAACCGGATGGTGAGCCACCAAGATTAGCCTTACACAACACCTCTCACGTCGGGAGGACATCCCGAGACATTTGGACCCGAGCTGGGGAATGGGATCAGGAGAGGGTGGAGGGCAGGGAGGGAGGTGGGGGGTAGGAGGGTGGAGGGCAGGAAGGGAGGGTGGGGGTAGGAGGGTGGAGGGCAGGGAGGGAGGGTGGGGGGTAGGAGGGTGGAGGGCAGGGAGGAGGGTGGGGGGTAGGAGGGGGCAGGGAGGGGGGGTGGGGTGGAGGGCAGGGGGGAGGGTGGGGGTAGGAGGGGGAGGGGGTAGGAGGGTGGAGGGCAGGGAGGGAGGGTGGGGGGTAGGAGGGTGCAGGGCAGGGAGGGAGGGTGGGGGTTAGGAGGGTGCAGGGCAGGAGGGAGGGTGGGGGGGTAGGAGGGTGACCGAAGGCGCAGTTGGTCGAAGAGGAGGGTCTTGTCCAGGCCTTGAAGGAGGTGAGGGAGGGGACGAGGCGGAGGGACTGAGGGATGGAGTTCCATCATCCACTAATGGCATCTCTCTGACTTTCTGTTCAGGATGAAGACCTCAAATGGGTGGAAGAAAATATTCCCTCTTCACTAACGGACGTGTAAGTCATCCCCATTTATATTAATATTAATAATAATAATAATAATAATCCTGGCGTTTGACCCGGCGCCTGATCACATCATCGGAACGTCTCAAAGCGCTTCACAGGAAACACTGTAAAGTGTAGTGACTGCGGATTTTGTCAGCAAAGCGCGGCAGCCAATCGCGCCGAGCGACGGCCCCACAAACATGGATCGAGCGACCAAAATTATTATTATTTTCGGGAAGGGGTTATTACCCCTAAAAAGCGATCTGCCAATCAACTGCCAAACGGGTTTCTGACTCACTGCAGTAAACAGGAGTGTGTGGTGGTGTGTGGGGTGGGGGTGGGGGTGTGTGGGGTGGGGTGGGGGGAGTACGGAAACCTGCCTAAGGTTTTGCCCCGTCCTGACCCGCTCCGGGAATCGAACCCCGGGTCCTCTGGCTGGCGAGGCGAGGCGAGGCGAGGCGAGGGCTCCAACCCCTGCGCTATCGTGGACGCTCGAATAGGAACAGGAGGAGGACAGTCATTCAGCCCCTCGAGCCTGTTCCGCCCTTTTTATTTAAAAAAATTTAAATCAAATTAAATTGAATTAAAATTTTTGAAAATGATTCTCATCCTTTTTTTTTTGCTCTTCGGTCGTTTAAAGTTGTTTCCGTTGGTAAATGACTTCCGCCCCGTAACTCGCCTCCTTTCTCTTTCCAGAGCGTTGCCGACATTACTGGACTCGGATGAGGTAAAAGGGATTAAACGCTCAGCTTTGCCCCCCCCCACCCACCCCACCCCCCACCCACCCCCCACATCGTTCCCGGGGCCGCAGGGTCCCGGGGCACTCACTGCTGATGGCAGCACAGCCCGGCCCGGCCCATCGGGAGGACCTGGAAGGGCCGACCAGTCCCTGGGGGCCGGGAATCCTCCCCCTCAGCTCCTGGTAACCCCACAGCCAAAGCCCCAACTAACTAATGGGAGAGGGGGGTCCGAGCGGGACACGCAGCGGGAAAGCTCGGCCGGACAGCGCTCTCTCTCTCTATGGCTGAGCTGTGTGTGGGTTTAGTTGGTTAGACCCCAACAGTTACCCCAACGCACACTCTGGGCTCCCCCCCCCCCACACCCCCCCAAAGCCTTGGCTCTCCCCAACCTGCGCCTAATACTCTCCGGAATTAGGTAAACAGGAGGCGTCCCTCCAGGGAGAGAGAGAGAGGGAGAGAGGGCATCCCATCCCGACACTCTCTCTCTGGGGTTTCCCGGTGTGGGGGGGCGGGGCTGCCGCGTTTCGCAAAAGAAACACACAGTCACTACACTTGACAGCGTATCCTGTGAAGCGCTTTGAGACGTCGCGACGACGCGATGAGGACCTTTATTAAATACCAGAAATATTCTGAGGTTTGTATCTGATGTACGTTCGGAAACCTCTTTTGCACAATTTAATTGCTTCTCTTTTCTCTCTTCCCCCCCACCCCCCCCCCACCCCCCCTTCTCACTCTCTCCCCTATTACCCCTTTTCTCTCCTCTTCCACCCACTTTCTCTCTCTATCTGTCTCTCTCTCTTTCTCTCTGTGTCTCTCTCTCTCTGTCTCTCTCTCTCTGTGTGTCCTTCTCTCTCTCTGTCTCTCTCTCTTCTCTGTGTCTCTCTCTGTCTCTCTCTCTCTCTGTCTCTCTCTCTCTCTGTCTCTCTCTCTCTCTCTCTCTGTGTCTCTCTCTCTCTGTCTCTGTCTCTCTCTCCCTCTCTCTGTGTGTGTGTCTCTCTCTGTGTGTGTCTCTCTCTGTGTGTGTGTCTCTCTCTGTGTGTCTCTCTGTGTCTCTCTGTCTCTCTCCCTCTCTCTGTCTCTCTCTGTGTCTCTCTCTGTCTCTCTCTCTGTGTGTCTCTCTCTCTCTCTCTCTCTCTCTCTCTCTGTCTCTCTCTCTCTGTGTGTCTCTCTCTGTGTGTCTCTCTCTCTGTCTCTCTCTCTGTGTGTCTCTCTCTGTGTGTCTCTCTCTGTGTGTCTCTCTCTGTGTGTCTCTCTCTGTGTGTCTCTCTCTGTCTCTCTGTGTCTCTCTCTCTGTCTCTCTCTCTGTGTGTCTCTCTCTCTGTCTCTCTCCCTCTCTCTGTCTCTCTCTCTCTCTGTGTCTCTCTCTCTGTCTCTCTCCCTCTCTCTGTGTCTCTCTCCCTCTCTCTGTGTCTCTCTCCCTCTCTCTGTCTCTCTCTCCCTCTCTCTGTGTCTCTCTCTGTGTGTCTCTCTCTGTGTGTCTCTCTCTGTGTCTCTCTCTCTGTCTCTCTCTCTCTGTCTCTCTCTCTCTCTCTCTCTCTCTCTGTGTCTCTCTCTCTGTCTCTCTCTCCCTCTCTCTGTGTCTCTCTATCTGTCTCTCTCTCTCTCTCTGTGTCTCTCTCTCTGTCTCTCTCTCTCTCTGTGTCTCTCTCTCTGTCTCCCTCTCCCTCTCTCTCTCTCTCTCACCAGGAAATCATGATGACCAAATCAGAAATCTCCAAAATGGAATAACGAGAGTCGTTGAGGGAAGACCAGAGACTCGGTCAGGAATATCCCGAGAGTGGAGAGGTTTATTCCTCTGGACCTTCAGACAATCTCTCTACAGAGGGACGAGGGGGTGGAGGGGGGGGGGGGGGGGGGGAAGGAGGAGCGGACAAAAAATGGAGGAATGTAGTGATCTCTCTCTGTGGGTGTGTGGGTTTCAGCAATAATATCAACCATTCGGGGTCTGTTTGAATTGTTGGTTTGTTTTCAGATGGTTTGTAGAAAGCATTTCTCTCCCCCCCACACCCCCCCCCCCCCCCACCACCCACACCCACCCTCCCCGTGAAAAAATCTCGAGTAAAATTAGTAACTCGCTGTTTTCCAGGGGTTAGGGCTCCGTGACGTATAAACACACAGTCACTACACTTTACAGAGTATCCCGTAAAGCGCTTTGACACGTCTCCGAGACTTGATGGGGCGCCGGGTCAGACCCCAGGATTGTTGTTATTATTATTATTATCATCAAACGGACAAGTTACGAGGAGGTTACAGTTTAAAACCCGTCAGTTGTTTGCAGGTTCTGGTCAGAGTGTAGGGCGGAGGGGAGGGACGGGAGATGTAGGGGGATGGGGGGAGAGAGAGAGAGAGAGAGAGAGAGCAGGAGAGGTGGGGCGGTGGGGGGGGGGAGAGGGGTTGTTACGCCCGCAGTTGAGGCTGTTGTAACTGAGATGTCTGTCTGTCAGTGACAGAGCGAAGCCCTCGTTGTTGCGCTGCGTCTGTGTCGCTGGAAATCCGGGGCTTTGTTACCACAAAGTGAATTTGTTAACCAAAACAGGAAAAGTTTTCAGTGAGAGCTGTTCGAAACTTCAACTACCCCCCACCCCCCGCTTTTTGCCCCCCTCTCTGTCTCTCTTGCACCCCAATCCTCTCTCTCCCCCACACCCCCCCACCCGCCTTTCAGTGGGGTTCACCTGGAGTCCCTGTAGCTCAGGGGTTAGAGCCCTCGCCTGGCGATCCGGGTTGGATTCCCGGGCGGGTCAGGTCGGGGCGAAACCTGAGACAAGTTTCCTTACTACACACACACACACACACAGACACACACACACACACACACACAGACACACACACACCGACACACACGCACAGACACACGCACACACACACGCACAGACACACACACACACATACACACACGCGCCTCTGTTTCCAGCAGTCGGTAGGAACCCGGTTATTAGTCGATCGGAGGATCACTTTCCGGGGGTAATAATCCCTCCAGATTGATAATAATTTGGTCACTCAATCCACGACTGTTCATGGGGACGTTGTTGGGCGCAATTGGCTGCCGTGTTTCGCCCACGAAACACACAGTCACTACCTATTGCAGTATATCCTGTGAAGCGCTTTGAGACGTCTCAACGACGTGATCAGGCGCCGGGTCAAACGCCGGAATTATCATCATCATTATTTCCATACAGTTCACAAAAACTGCCCCAGTTATGTTATGTTACCTGTCCTGCAAAGTTATTAATATATTCTTTCACAGCACTTATTTTTTATATTTTTTCGTTGGATTTTTTTCTCTCTCTCTCTCTCTTTTATTTCTTCCCTCGTCATCGTTTTGTCGAGAGTGTGACGGGAATGTTCCAGATGGCGGGCGGGTGGGCAAACATTGGAACTCAGTGTCTGGTCAATAAAACGGAACCATTTCTCGATGTTTCGTGTGCGTGAATTTTTCGACACAGTCACTGCACTGCACAGCATATCCCGTGAAGCGTTTTGAGGCGTCTCGACAACGTGACATTTCAAGGATTGTTATTCTTAAAATAGAAATTGAACTCAACAGTTTTACACACACACACACACACAGGTAACTTCTGGCCGACATTCAATCGAAACAGGTTCCACCCAACCAGTGATCCACTGATTAAAGCCGCCCTTTTGTGACGGTGACGAGGTGGGAGGCGGAGTGTTTGCAGGTCAATAAAGCCGAGAGTCTTAACCGTCCCAACCCTCACCCTCACGCAGTCACCTGAGAGCGACTCGATAGCGGCGGCGGAACCATGGAGTGTGCGGAGAAAGCCGATAACGTGGAATGGGGATTTGGTAAGAAATGAACGTTGTACGACTCGTTGCCTTTTTGGGTGAAGGTGGATTTTTCTTTTCTCCCATTTGCAAAGTCCCCGTAGCTCAGGGGATCGAGCCCTCCGGGGCGGGTCAGGTCAGGGCGAAACAATCTTAGGTAAGTTTCCTCACTCCCCACACACACACACACACAGACGCTTCTCTTTTATCTGGTAACGCGGTCGCTCAATCTACAACTGTTTGTGGGACAAAACATAACGGTGAGTTTCAAGAATGAAACAAAAATTAAATCGGCGGCTTCGGCCGTCGCACGAAGTGCAGAGTGATGTGACATTTTAGCTGCGGTTGAAAGCGATGACCCGCCGGCTGTTTCGAGAGACGGAGAGAAACAAATCGTTTTAAAAAGTTGCTCTGTTTTGTGAAAGAGTGTAAATTAAATGTATCTGTGGAGTCCCGTAGCTCAGCGGTGAGAGCATTCGCTTTCCGAGCGAGACACTCGGGTTCAATTCCAGACAGAGGGCGAAACCTTGGTCAAGTTTCCTTAATAATAATAATAATCCCTCCAAAACAAAAATAAATTGGTCATTTTCAACCCACGGCTGTTTGTGGGACAGACGCTGCTGTGCGTTCACCCACAAATATACAGTCAATTCACTTTACAGTATATTCTGTGAAGCGCTTTGAGACGTCGAGAAGACGTGAAAAGCGCAATATCAAATGCAACGATTGTTATTATATGTTAAAAAAAAGATTTATTTATTGCAAAAGATTTGTAGTTTAAAAAAAGTGGGTTTGTTGGGGGATGGGGGGGAAATAATAATAATCCTTGCATCTGATATAGTGGCTTATTACGTCTTTGAGACGTCTCAAAGCGCTTCACGGGACACACTGTAAAGTGTAATGACTGTGTAATTTGTGGGCGAAACGCAGCAGCCGATTGTGCACTGTCCACACAAACAGTCGTAGATTGAGTGATCAAATTTAGAGGGATTGTTAACGCCCTAAAAGCAATCTGCCAAACTATTAACAAGCGCGTTCCTACTTACTGCTGTGCAAACAGAAGGGTGTGTGTGTGTGTGTGGGCGGAGAAAGGAAACTTGCCTAATTGTTGGGATTATTGACTATCTCCTGATCTCTTGAAATTGTTCCACGATTTAATTAGGTGAACGGGGAGTTGGTTACACACTCGCGTTTGCCAAAGTGGTCGCGTAACATAAATGTCCTTTTCTGTGGTTTGCACTTTCAGGTTTTGGAGACAAGAAAGACAAAGACAAGGACAAGAAATGCGACAAAGACAAAAGCAAAGACAAGAAATGCGACAAAGACAAAAGGAAAGGCAAGAAATGTAAAGATAAAGATGGCAAAGTGAAGAAGCACAAAGAGCACAAGAAGGTAAAATGATTCGGACCCGACCGGGGATCAGGAGGAGTGGATGGTGGGGGGTCGGAGGGGGAGCGGAGGTTGAAGAAGAGGGTCTTGAAACCGCGCTTGAAGGATGCGAGGGAGGGAGGGAAGGAGGGAGGGAGGGAGGAGGCGGAGGGACTGTGGGATGGAGTTCCAGAGGGTTGCCGGTGGGAGCCGGGGAGGAACCGGTTGAGCCGAATGGCCTCTTTCTGTGCTGCGAATGTGCCCGACTCCGACCCGTGTGTTGTTTCGTGACAGAGAAAAGACGGTGACTGCAGCAGCTCGAGTTCAAGCTCCAGCTCCAGCTCCAGTTCCAGCTCCAGCTCCGGCTCTGACAGCGACGACGGGAAGGTAAGTTATTTATATCTATTTACATACGTATATATATTTTTCGAAAGGATTATTACCCCCAGAAAAGCGCTCCGTCAATCAACTAACAAGCGGGTTCCTACTGACTTTGTCACGCGATCCATTGAGGTGTGCGGACAGGTTGTTATCTCGGTGTGAAGGCTCACGCACAGCTCTGAGCCGTTTGGCTGTTGCTAAGCTGCTGCTCGTAAAACCTGTCTTTACTGTTTTCCCCCTCAGGCGCGAGACAAAGGGGCTTTTATTGCGCGTTTTATTCCAAGTTTCAGTTGTGAAACCCACGGCAGAATCTGGGCCGACTGTAACATCGCAGATAATAATCCCGGCGTTTGGACCCGGCGCCTGACCGCGTCGCTGAGACGCCTCGAAGCGCTTCGCAGGACACGCCGTCAAGCGTAGTGCTTGTGCGTTTCGTGGGCGAAACGCGGCAGCCGACTGAGCCCAGCGACGGACTCACGGACGTGACAAGGCGCTGTATCGAACAAAAGGATCATTATGACTGAAAATCGTCGCAGGGATTTGAGACCAACCAAAGGGATTTTTTTTTTTAAAAAAAAAGCTGAGACCCCTCTCGCGCTAACTCCTCTCTCTCTCTCTTCCCCCTCAGGGTGGATGCAAAGAAAAGAAAAAGAAGGGAAAGAAGGAAAAACAGTGCAAAACGTGATCAGCTCGGTTCCCTCTTCACAGTTCTGCCGCCCTTCACACTGCCCACTCCCCAACCCACCTCCGCTAGACCGGCTCTGGCCTCCCGCTCGTCCGTCGTCCCCTCCGCTCCACCATCAGCGGCCGCGCTTTCAGCCACTACGCTCTGAAACTCTGTCACTCTCTTCCTCCCTCCTCCTCCTCCTCCTCCTCCTCGCCCCCTCCTTCAACATCTTCAGCTGAGAAGACCTTCCTTCTTCACCTCCCCCTCGTCGTCCTGCTCAGCCGCCGTCAAGCGCTCTGGGACTCTACCCTGTGTGAGGGGTTGGGGGGGGGGGCACTGTGTGGTCGCACAACACAGAGCTGTTGCAGCGATGGGAAGCCACGTCCGTACGTGCCTTTCAGTCCCACCGCACTCGGCGCCTGGCGATTTGTCGTGTTAAACGTTAACGGGGGGCAGACGTACAGCTGCCTCTTTAACAGGGCAAATAAAGACAAGCGCACGAAAAAAACACATCGCCAATAAAAGCCTCTTAAACCAAGTCGTGTTCGAATGCAAGCCGCAACTTTTCACACGCGTGGCGTCCGTGTCGCGTGTCGCGGTTAGAGCGCTCGCCCCGCAGGTCGGATTCCTGGTCAGATCAGACCTTTATACACACACACACACGCACACGCGCGCGCGCGCCACCCCCCACACACCTCTATTTTCCAGCAGTAAACAGGGACCCAGTTGTTAGTCGATGGCGCATTGCTTTCCAGGGTTCACAATCCCTTCAAAACATTATAATAAATTGCTCACTCAATCCACGAGTGCTTGTGGGACGCTGCTGAGCGCAACTGACCGCCGCGTTCCACCCACGAAATACAACACAATTCACGGTACATTCGAGGGTTATTATTAGTTACTGTGGTGGTGCCGTATCATTCAACAACAACAACACAATGACATTCATAGAGCGCCTTTCACGTCGGGAGGACGTCCCGAAGTGCTGGACAGTCAGCTGTCGGGGCCCGAGAGGTGGGAGGGAGACCAAAGGCACGATCGAAGAGAGGGGTTGAAGGAGGTGAGGGAGGAAGCGAGGCGGAGGGACCGTGGGATGGAGTTCCAGGGCGTGGGGGTAGAGAGGCTGAACGCCCGACCACCGATGGGAGGGCGGGTCGGGCGGGAGACACGGAGCAGCCGGAGCCGATGGACGGGGGGACCGGGCGGGTTGGTAGGGAGTCAGCAGGTCAGAGAGGGAGGAGGGACAAGGCCATGGATGGCCTTGAAAGTGAGGACGAGGATCTTGAATTTGATCCTCTGAGGGATGAGGAGCCGGTGGGGTCGGGCGAGAGTGGGAGCGATGGGGTCGGGCGGGGGTTCGAGTGATGGGGTCGGGCGAGAGTGGGAGCGATGGGGTCGGGCGGGGGTGGGAGTGATGGGGTCGGGCGAGGGTGGGAGTGATGGGGTCGGGCGAGGGTGGGAGTGGTGGGGTTGGGCGAGGGTGGGAGTGATGGGGTCGGGCGAGGGTGGGAGTGATGGGGTCGGGCGAGGGTGGGAGTGATGGGGTCGGGCGAGGGTGGGAGTGATGGGGTCGCGGAGCCCGGTGTGTGAGAGTACACGAGCTGCAGAGTTGTGGATGATCTGCAGGTTGTGATGGGAAGAGTTGTGAAGCCGATGAGGAGGGAGTTCCCTTAATCGAGCCTTGAGGTGACGGATGTGTGGGTGAGGGTTTGGGGGCTGAGGGGTGAGGCAGTGGCGGAGTCCGGCGATGGTGCGCAGGTGGTGGTAGGCAGTGCCGGTCATGGCGCGGATGTGGGGGAGAAAGGACAGTTCAGGGTTAAACGAGACCCCCAGGTTCCTGACCGGCTCAGTGAGGCTGAGAGTGCAGCCGTGGAGGCAGATGCTGCCAAGCGCCCGAGGTGCGGACGCGCTGGTGTGAGCCAATCAGGAGGGCCTCGGCTTTGCTGACGTTGAGTTGGAGAAAGTTGTGCCTCTTCCAGGACCTGATGTCGGACAAGTAATCAATCAGGACACCAGTGGTCCTGGAGTTCAGGGCGGAGGCAGAGTTTGGGTGTCATCCGCATACATATGGACGTTGACCCCATGTCTGCGGATGATGTCAGAAAGCGGGAGCGGGTGAAGAGGAGGGGACCGAGGTCAGAGCCTTGAGGGACACCGCGCGAGATGGTGCGGGGGCCGGAGGGGATTTGAGATGGACCGGTAGTTGGATAGACAGCGGTGATGGGTCAAGGCGGGCCTCTCGGTGGCCAGCGCCGCACGCACGTGGCGCGAAGCTTTTGCATCCGCTCACTATTTGGACCACCAAAGTTTTTCTCTGATCTTCAGTAATAATAATAATAATAATAATAATTTCTCAATACTGTATGTATCGCGAGAGGACCCGGGTTCCATTCCCGGGCGGGTCAGGTAAGTTTCCTCACTCCACACACACACACCCACCCACACATCTCTCTTTACCCAACAGTAATTAGGAACCTGCGGATCACTTTCCTGGGTAATAAGTTTCCTTAACTTACGAACCGCTGCAAACTTACATTCGATACAGCGCCTTAACATGTCGTCGAGAAGTCTCAAAGAGCTTCGCGGAAACGGTGACAACTTGCTGCTGCTCCGCGGGCGTCCGTCCGGCAGAGAAGAGATTAGACAACGGCCGAAACTCAAAACAGGATTATCCTTACAAAACACTTTATTTTATTTTAAAAAAAGAGGAAAGCAAAGAGGCTGAAAAAAAAAAGGCGCAGGAACGTTAGCAGCATTTTCACTACAGAGATGAACAAGCCCGGTGGATAATATAATAATAATAATAATAATAATAATAACAACAAAACAGCCCTATACAACAGAGAGAAAAAAAAACCCATCTAAACCCTGTAAAGGTTTACACAAAAGTTAACACTTTTACACACAGGCTCTGTCCACCTCACGTACCATTAAAGGTTCTGTTGTCACACACTTCGGGTTAAAAAAAATAAATCAACTCGACTAAGACAGTTTGTCACTAACTATAGTTTGTAATCATTCTCCCTTACAGTTGCTCACCTCGTGCACACGGGTGCACACACGCACAATTGGCCGGCAACCTTACACAACAAAGCTATCTTAGTGTCAACTGAACAACGTTTAATGCGCGCAAAAGAAGTCATTGGCATATGGAAGTAATAATTATTATAGCAATCCTTTGCGTTTGATATAGCGCCTCATCGCGTCTTCGAGACATCTCAAAGCGCTAAATGATTTTAATTCTGATGTAAAACGGTTTGAGACATCTCAACGACGCGATATATCAAGTACCAGGGTTATTATTACGTAAAATAGAGTAACATTAGTTTGAAGCATCTCCCGAGAGTGAAGGCAGCCAGCTGCCCACTTTGTGATGGTTATTTTACACAAGTACACAAATAACCCTTTTATTTTGAGTGAGATACTAATTCTCGGCTGTGGTATAAGTGTTCAAATTAACCTTTGTTCAAAGTCACTGGAGGCAAAGTCACTCCCCCTCAGCTCCTGTTAACCCTGCAGCCAAAGCCCTGACTAATGGACAAGCAGCGGGAAAGTTTGCTGGATATACTCTGCTCAAAAGCGATAACAATAATAATAATAAAAATAAGTTAACCCTTAAATGAAGACAAATGCCTGGGTTTTAAATCAATTCTTAAAGCTGCAGTTCACAAGAGCAAGAAGTGTGAGACGAGACGCGGAGACTTTGTGAAGTTGTGCGGTTTAGACACTGAGGCGACAGATTAAATAAGGATATAATGATTCTATTTTCCCCGCCTTTTTCTTTGCCCAGTCGCAGGGTGTCTTGACGCACGCGGAAACCCATCACCATGTTTAAGCGTCTCCAAACCCAACTGAGAATTCCAGGCCTGACATCTACACATGGACATCCCAGAGATAGATGAGACAGATTGTTGGAATGGAATACGCTCTCTCTCTCTCTCTCTTTCTCTCTACCTGAAGGGACACACCCTGCTTACCTAATTCCGGAGAATAAATAAATAAAAGTTTTATAGTTTTGAAGTTTTAACCACTTCATTTTGGGGGCACTCAAAACAAACTCGTCCTCACGTCGACTGATAGATTTTTCTGAAGAGAGAGAGAGAGCAAGGACTATTCCGATCTGCGCTGCCCACCAGAGGAAGGAAGTGGGAGTGAGTGAGTGAGTGAGTGAGTGATTGATTGATTTCGAGATGTCCCAGTTTAAATAATCGGCTGTATATAATAAAACAAGTTGACTAATTTTGCTGAGACGTCGTTTCTCTCTGCTCAACAGAGAGAGAAAACACAGACACACACGCGCAGACAGACAGACACATGCACACACACACACGCACACACAGACACGCACGCTCAGACACACACACAACTCCCTACTGCGACGACTGTGGCTCGACTTGGGGTTCAAAGGTTTCGCGGTCAGTCCTCACGGAGGTCCTCGCTCCTGTCCGTGCCTTCGGCCGGTCAGGGCTGAGCGGATCTCGGCTGCCCTGGTAAACTCGGCAAAGTTCAAATCGTTCCTCAGTGCGGCAAAGGTGTCGAGCAGGATGGCGGTGAGCTGGGCTTTCCCCTCCGACGTCTCGTCACTGGAGTTCAACTGTAATAATAATACTTGCATTTGACACAGCGCCTTATCACGGCGTTCAGATGGCCCAAAGCGCTTGACAACGGTAAAGTGGAGTTGACTGCGTATTTATGGGCGAAACGCAGCAGCAAATAGCACAAAGCAATGTCCCACACACGCACGGTCGTGGCTCGAGTGACTAATTTCATTTGGGGCAGGAGAGCGAGAGAGAGAAAAACGCCTTTCTCTTTTCGAACAGCGTCGCAGGAGATCTTTAACCTGAACAAGCACAGCCGAGGACAGAGCCTCTGACAATGCAACACCCCCCCCAACCCCAGTGCTGCATTGGGCATGTGATTCCAAGTCCAGACTCGGGGGCTTGAGCCCACAGACTTTTTGACTCGGAGGCGAGAGAGAGCGCTACCGCCGAGCTGGGCTGACACACACAAAAATCTAATGAGTTTGGTTACCAGACGAACCTTATCGTACAATGACAAGGCTTTCTTCAAATCGTTCTGCAGGTCGGCCATGAGGCGTTCAAAATTCTGAACACCCTCCACAAGATCTGTGATGAGGGGGAGGGAGAGAGAGAGAGAGAGAGAGAAAAAGCACAAGTTACATTCCCTCCCACAGAGGCACAGATTGATAAGACTAAAGCAAAAAGCAAACTGTTAAAAGACTCATTGGAAAAAAATATATAAAATGTGTTGCTCGGCAAAGTTCTTGAAGTGTTCAGCTCACAAGCGGTGGTTTAAATACGCAGTACAGAGTCCGGATGGAGCGCGCTATATAAATCCAAGTTATTTTTGTTGTACAGAGGATTTCAGAGGAAGTTAGGAATAAACATAATAATAATCCTTGCATTTGACATAGTGGCTTATCACGTCTCTGAGAGCGTAAATTTTGTAGGTGAAAAACGGAAGCCAATTGCGCACAAATAGCCGTGGACTACTTAGTCCTTAGTGATCACATTATGCGAAGGGATTATTATCTCCAGGAAAGCGATCTGCCAATCGAGTAACAACCGGGTTCCTACTTACCGCTGATAAACAGGTGTGTGCGCGCGCATGTGGGGCGTAAGGAAACGTGCCTAAAGTTTCACCCTGATCTGACCTGCCCGGGAATCGCTTGTGAGACCTCTAACCACTGAGCTACAAGGACTCCACAAAGAGGGAGAAGAGTATGGGAAGGAGTAAGGAGAGACATGGACTACAGCCCCAGGAAGCACCAGTTGGGCCGAATGACGTGTTTCAGGGCTGTAAAGCGCACATCAATGTAAAGACCAAGGAAGTTTGCAGTCAGGACAGAGACTGAGTTACTGTCTCCTTACCTGACAGACCCTCTCCAGACGGTTGGGTGACGGACGTGGGGAGGCGGGCGGCTTGTGGGGAGCGAAGGCAGACGTCCGTCGGTCCTGCCCCTGTCTGGGGGGCGGCAGGTACACAGCCTGGCGGGGGCGTGAGCGAGGGGTCAGGCTCTGTACCGAGAGGACGTCCGCAGGGCAGACTGTCTGGAGGGTGGGTGTCGAAGGCGGGGGCTGCCGGGGTCTCGGTTATCGGTTTGCTCCCAGCGTCTGTAGCCGGCTCGGTGGAGGTGATGTTGAGGGAGGGGGAGGAGGAGGACAGCCGTGAGGAATCCTGCCTGCAGCGCAGACCCGTCCTGCCCTTGGCTGCCGCGCACCCCAAGCCGTTAGCAAGCATTGGCGGGGGAGGCATGAGCAAGCGGTCGATGTGCATCTTGGTGGACAGGTCGAGGCTCAGGTTGGCTCTGGCCTGGTGATTGCCGAGGTTCTCCTTCTCCGGGAGGCTCTCTTGCGACGAGCCGGGCTCCGGGCTCAGCTCCGTCGCCGACGCCGTGACGGTTAGATCCAGCGTGGAGCTGGCTCGGGAGTTGGGGAGACTGGTGACGGCTTTCTGTTCCCACGTGGCCTGGTGCAGGTCGGTTCCCACGGACGCACTCCGCAGCATTTTGGCTCTGGAGCTGGTCGTGGGCTGCATGTACGACCGGTGTTTGGTGTCTTTGCCGAGGGACGGCAACAGCTGAGACGGCGTCTTCTCGCTCTCGTGCACGTTCAGGAGATCGGACTGAGACTTGGAGGCGACTAAGTTGAATGGAGCAATCTCGACTGAAGTGCGGGAAGGAGATGCCGTGGGTTAGTTCAATCAATATCAGTTGATCATCAACATCAATCCACATCGATATCATGGAATCATACACCACAGAAGAAGGCCATTCGGCCTATCGAGCCTGTGCCGGCTCTTTGAAAGAGCTATCAACTAGTCCCCACTCCACCCACTCTTACCCCAACCGGTCCCACTCCCCCTGCTCTTACCCCAACTGGTCCCACTCCCCTAGCTCTTACCCCAACTAGTCCCCACTCTTACCCCAATTAGTTCCACTCCCCGGCTCTTACCCCAACTAGTCTTTCCCACAGTCCCGCAAATTTTTCAATTTCAAGTCCCTATCATCACCAATATCAATCAACATCATCATAATGAAGCTTCATCAATGAATCAATCATCATCATCCAGATCTGACCCAATTTATTATGGGGGGGGGGGGGGGGGCGGGAATTATCGGCCAGGACACCAGCGGGGATAGAGAAAGAGAGAGAGAGAGAGAGAGAGGGAGAAACTCCCTTCTCTTTCTGAACAGAGCCCCACTCACGGTCACAATCTATTTTCTCAACACTGCGACTCATCTGGTCACTTCTCCAGTTTCTCCTCGTCCTGTTCAGAGAGTGTTTCGCTACGGCCCCTATTTGAGCCTCGGGGAAAGATGTCTCCTTGGCAAAGGTCTCCACGGACTCGGATATGGCCTACGTAAGAGGATGAAAAATAAACGGTTTGTACCTGTGTTCAATACTTCAATTAAATACAATTTACTAATAATAATCCTTGTATTTGATATAGCACCTGATCACGTCGTAGAGATATCTCGAAGCGTTCACAGGATACAGTGTAAAGTGTAGTGACTGTGTGTTTTGTGGGCAGCAGTGTCCCACAAGAAGTCATGGATTGATTGACCATTTTTAAAAAGGACTATTATCCCCTGGAAAGTGATCCACCAATCAACTAACAACTGGGTTCCTATTTACTGCTACAGAGGCGTATGTGTGTGTAGTAAGGAAACTTGCCTAAGGTTTCGCCCTGACCTGACCCGCCCAGGAATCGAACTTGGGTCCTCTCGCTTTGCGAGGCGAGCACTCTAACCATTGAGCTATACGTCTCCACGATACGGGAAGCTAACAATTCTACTTACGTCGTGGGTATGCTTCTGCTCCCTGAGGCTAGAATCCAAGTGCAGCTGCTGAACCTTAGCAGACATCAGGCTGTGGAGAAATACACAACTCAGGTCAGCAAACTCACAACCCACTGCATTTGGAAGAATTTGGTCACTCAATCTATGACTGTTTGTGGGACACTGCTGCGCAACTAGCTCTCTACCTTAATCCCTCCGCCTCGCCCCCTCCAGCGTTCTGGGATGTCTTTCTGAAGTAAAGACCACTATACTAGTGTAATTTGTTGTACCCTCGCCTGGGAAAGCAATGAAGGGGACAATGATCAATGATCAGGAGTTGATCAATGACAACAATGATATTAACCTAGAGATGACTATACCTTAATTTGCACACAGCAACGTCCCGTAAATGTATATATAATAAAGAGAGAGAGAAACCTGCTCTTTAGAACTGTGCCACACTTACTTGCAGTTTTTCTGAAAACGTAACAAAAATCTCGACGTGAGACTTAACCGCGGATTCAGGAAAAAATGACTCTCGCTCTCCTGCTGCCTTTGCTTCTGGTTTGGCGGCGCCTTGTCAGCCTTCTCTGTGAAATAATAATCAGCGTTTCAGCCAAATCTGCAGACAGCTGCACAGCCACTTAAAAATAACAACAATTTGCATTTACACAGCGCCCCTGACACAGGGCAGCGTCCCAGAGCACTTGACAGTGGCGGAGCACAATGCCAAGCCGGGGGGGGGGAGGGAGGAGACCACAGGTACAGTTGAAGAGGAACGTCTTCAGGTACGACCTGAAGATGGGGAAGGAATGGGAAAGGCGGAGGGAGATGACAGGGTTTTGGGTCATAGTGGCTTAAAGCTTGGCCACCAATGGTGGAGCGGAAGGCATGAAGGACAAGCAGGAGCCAGCGGATAGTGGGTTGAGGGGATAAGCAGGTCGGAGAGGTAGGGAGCTGCCAGGGCGTGAAGGGATTTGTAGACGAATGTGAGGGTCTTGAAATCAAACCGTTCTGTGAAAGGGAGCCAGTGGAGCCTGGCGAGGACTGGGGTGAATGGGGGCAAAAACGGTTACCGGAGGGGCAGGCAGTCAAGTGGGTTTGGTGTTTGTTTTGGGGATGAGTGGTTACCCTGAGCGAAGTCGTTGGCTAGATTTTCAAAGTTGTGTTTGAAGAACCTCTCCTCGTCCGGGGTGTTAGCCAGACTCGGGCCCTGAGGCTTGGCCGCTGTGCTGTACTGCTCCTCGTCCTCCTCTGAGGAGCGGCTGTCTGAACTCAGCTGGCCCATCGAGCCGCAATCTAGGGAAGCGGGCAAACACAGCACAAGATAAGCCTTGCGACGTCCTCCCAACGTAAATAACATTTGTTGTCGCTTTGAACGCCTCTCACCGTCCTGCTGCACGTCGTTGCTGGAGGCCTGACTTCGTGATGAATCCACAGAGCAGGCGCTGTCTGGGCTGTTCACAGAACCCGGCTTCTTCCACTCCACCATTTCCTTCTCCAAGTTTTTCGCCACTTCTGTCACTTGGTAATCACTGGGATGGGATGGGGGGGGGGGGGGGGGGGGGGGAGAAAGAGAAAAGTGGGGGAAAATCAACACACAATAAATTAGACCTGGAAAGTGGGGTGGAGGGGGCAAGAAAGGACTGCCATCACAAAACAATTGGTAATTAATTAAATGACATTTAATGGGGTGGTTTTTTTTGTGGGGGGAATGTTAAAAATTGTTGAAAATTAAGTAAAGGCCCATTAAAATGTTACCGTACGACATCCATCTATTCTACTGTATAAATCACCTTGCGAATATAATCAAGAAAGGCTGCTCTATTTGAATATTCTCTGACGGGAACAAACTGCAGCATCCTGGCCATTTTAAGCACTTTTCCGGATGTTGTGTGTATATATATATATATATATATATATATATAATCCTTTCAAATAAATAAATAAATAAAATAGCGCGGTCACTCACTCACTCCATAACTGTTTGTGGGACACTGCTGTGCACAGTTGGCTGCCGTGTTTCACCCACAAAATACAGTCACTCAACTTTACAGTGTATCCTGCCAAACACTTTGAGATGACTCAATGATGTGATAAGGCACTATATCAAATGCTTGATATAGGATGATTATTATTATATCAATGACATACTTCTCGGTGCTGGAAGAATGATCGGAACTCTCCGCTGGCTCGCTCTCCACCATCTCTGCCTCTTGGGAAAACCCATTTGCCGACCCCTCCAGGCAGAGGGAACTTGACCTCCCTGAAGCCTTGTCCGACATCAAGCTGGGAGACAGCTCCATCTGAAGTGGTGACATGACAAGCTCTGATTAACACAAAACAAAACAGGCAAAACACACTGTGGAAATCTGAAATGAGAAAAGAAGTCGCGGTGGGAACACACAGCAGGTGAGAGAGGAAAACGAGCTAACATTTCAGGTCGATGGCTTAGAAAAGCGCTTTGAGGTGCCTCTATACGCGTTTCGCCAACAAAACACAAAGTCAATCCATTATACAGTGTAGCCTTTGAAGCGCTTTGAGACGTCTCGGAGATAAGGTGCTGTATGAAATACAGGGATTATTATTAGTAATATTAATACACAGACTGACCATATCGAACAAGTTGTCCAGGTTCTGTGGCTTGAAGTTGCAGACATTGTCTAAACCATTGCCCGGGAGCATCTGTGCTGTTGACATCCTGTCAGTTGGGGTCTGGCAGCATTCCTCCAGTTGACGCGTTCCTAATGTGGAGATAATAAAGTCCTTGTCCATTCTCTCGGCCCACCTTCCCTTCGGCTGGAAAGTGTCTGCCGTGCCGCGGGTGGCTCGATCCCAAATAATCCCATCCGCCGCCTCCTGCAGGAGAGAGAGAGAGAGGACATTTAAAACACAACATTCATCTCAAAGTTACATCATAGATAATCCTTGGGATTGGTACAGCACCTTTCACGTCCTTTTAACAAGAGTTGCATTTGATATTTTAGTCATTTTTACAGTATAGTCCTGCAGCTTAGTGCTAGAATGCTTGGCTCGCACCCCGGTTCGATTCCCACACGTTAAACAATACTCACCAGCCTCTTTGCCCACAGGGGAAGTTTGCCGTTAGTCATCAGGAAGGTGGCAGCGTCCACTTTGTCTGGAATTATAATATTCGGTTACGGCAGTGGAAGTTAACAAGCTAGAAACACAGAGCATCAGGAGCTCTAAAGCGATTTACAATGAATGACATCTGTATAGTCAGTCACAAAGCCACATGTAGTCATTCTAACCTTTGTCCACTTGCTCTTTTGAGGGAGACTGTACAGACAGGTCCTCTACATCATCATCTTCTCGCTCTTCCTCGCTCCCTACATCGTTGAGGTCACCCTGGACCACCCGTGGGTTCACAGTGAACGTCTCTCTCCTAAATTAGTCAGTCAACAACAAATTACATTTGCACAGTGCCTTTCACGTTGGGAGGAGCTGAACCGGCTCTTACACGACATGTTTCACAACAGAATAGTGGAGTCAAGTCAAACCTCTACCTAGCCTGGCCCAGTGGCAGCGATGTAGATCTTCACACTTTCCTGCGAGCACAGAATTGAATACGTTGGACACAGACCGACATACCTGATTGGCAGAGGCTCTTTAGCGGCGGGTTTGATTTCAGCAAGACGGTGCCTCATACAAGTTGCCAGCTGCGAGTCGAGACGCCACACAAAAATGCAACTGCGGGTTTAAGGAAAAAAGAATCCACATTGAGTGTAATGAATTGCTGGGCCATTAAAGATAATCCTTCCGTTTGATGCAGTGCCTTTGTCACGTCACCGAGACGTCTCAAAGCGCTTCACGGAACATGCTGTAAAGTGAATTGACTTGACTGTATATTCTGTGGGCGAGACAAAAAGACAAATTGTTGTAAAGCGCTTGACTTCCTCCTACCCCCACCCTCCCTGCCCTCCACCCCTCCTGATCCCAACCCCCAGCCCAGCTGGGTCCAAATCTATGACTGTCCAGCGCCTTGGGACATCCTTCTGACCTGAAAGGCGCTGTGTAAATTTCATTTGTTGCTGCTCTCCCACAATCACATCGGCACAAACGCACTCACCCATCTCCCGACACGGTGATCAGACGCTTACAGTCGGCAGTAAACTTCAAGCCCGTTACAATCTCTGAAGTAAAAGAGAAGCAGAAGAGATGGACCTTTAAAGAGTTATAATAATAATAATAATCCTCGCATTTGATATAGCGCTTTTCACGTCGGGAGGACGTCCCAAAGCGCTTCACAGAACACACTGTAAAGTGAATTGACTGTATATTTGTGGGCGAACGCGGCAGCCAATTGCGCACAGCAATGTCCCACAGACAGTCGTAGATTGAAAATGACCAATTTATTATTGTTTTTGGTTTTGGAGGGATTATTATTAGGCTCTGTGTGGAGTAAGGAAACTTGCCCAAGGTTTGGCCCTCTGCCTGGAATTGAACTCAGGTCTCTCACTTGCAAAGCGAGTGCTCTAACCACTGAGCTACAGGACTCCACGTTGAGGAGTTGAGGAGGAAGTGATTCAGAGTTTCAGAGAGTGGGGCAAACAGCATCAAAAAAAGTACCTGAATGGCCAAACATGGTAGCTACACACTCTTCAGAATCTAAATCATAGATGCAGATGTTCTTGTCGGAGCAAATTGCGGCGACAAAGGTTCCGGAAGGATCCATCTGAACCTGGAAACAAACGTGCAAACACGCGCGCGTGAAACTGTGATCGAAACCTCAGCTGAGAAAATAAAGTCTTTCGAAAGTAAAGATGTGAATATGTAAAGGGCATCCAACAATAACAACGATGATAATCCTTGCATTCGATACAGCGCCTTCCTTATCACCTCGCCGAGACGTCTCAAAGCACTTCAAAAGGTATACCGTAAAGTGTCGCGAATTTGTGGGCGAAACACGGCAATGTCCCCCCCCAAAACAATTGTGGGTTGAATGACAAAATAATTGTAATTTTGAAGGGATCATAACCCTGGAAAGTGATCCACCCACCAATCGCCTAACAATTGGGTTCCTACTTACTGCTAGGTAAACAGAGGTGTGTGTGTGTGTGTGTGTGTGGAGTAAGGAAACTAGCCTAAGGTTTCGCCCTGACCTTCCCCGGAATCAAACCCGAGTCCTCTCGCTTGTGAGGCGAGTGCACTAACCACTACCTTACAGGGGACGCCATGATAATGTGCTTCGAGGAGCATTGGTCTACAACGATGCCACCACCAGGGTGCACTGCGGCTGAGTCTTTCAGTTGGGAGTTAAATGGCATTTTTCCTCCTCCTGTCAATGCAGTTAAGGCAGTGCTTGCAATCGGTACGTACAGTGTCTGATCGTGGTCATCGAGATGCCTCAAAAGGCCTTCTGTCTTACCGTAAAGCGGTGACACTGTATTTCAGGGGGAATGGAGAGATGACCCAATGCACGGTCAAAGAGGTAGCGCTTCAAATGGACTTTGGTCAGAGGTGAGGGAGGGAGGCAATCGGAGGGACTCCAGGATGGAGTTCCGGAGAGTGAGGGCACAGCAACAACAACATAGAATCCCTAACGCGGGTAGGGTCCCAGAGCGCTTAAATGGTTAAACATCTGGTAGGGTGAGCAGGGTGGGGGACATGAAGCAGAACAGGGTTCTCTGAGCGAAGGGTGTGGCCCGGTTAGTGGGGTTGAAGGAGGTCAAGCAGGTGTGATGGGGAGAGACTACGGAGGGATTGGAAGGTGAGGATTTGGAGCATTAAGAAGCTCACACAACTGCGTTGATTTAACCCCGTGCTTTCCAATTCACCAGCGGCGGGCCGGGCTTTCAGCCACTACACCCGAAAACTCTGTCACACTCTTCCTCAATTCCTCAGCCTTGTCCCCTCCTTCCCATCTTCAGGTCGCAACTGAAGACTTTCCTCTTCAACCTTGCCTATGGTCACTTCCTCCCTCCCCTGGCTCGGCTTTGCGCTGTCAAGCGCTGTGGGACCCTGCCCTGCGTGAGAGGGGTCCTGTGCTGTCGATTCAGAGGAAGGTCACGATTTGTTTTTGGCTTCCTTACTTTGAGAAGGATTCCATCCTCACCCTGCGAGCCTTTGAAGCATTTTCTCTGCTTACCACTGCTGACGTTAAATATCCTGCGAGTCAGAAGATTGATTTAAATTAAAATAACGCAATTACTCAAGACGAAGAATAATAAATGAGCCTGCTATACTTAGTTCTCCATCTCCCACTCTCTGGCAGTCCGTGGCTTCAGTGAGCAATGCTTTGCCCAGAGTAAACACAGCTAAAAATGGCTCTGTGGCTAAGTGCCTGAACAGTCCTCTGGAGCACTGTAGTGTAGTGGTTAGAGCACTCGCCTCGCAAGCGAGAGGACCCGGGTTCGATTCCTGGTCAGGGCAAAACATTAGGCAAGTTTCCTTATTCCACACACCTGTTACAGCTCATCGGCAGGACCTGGAAGGGCAGACCAGTCACTGGGGACAAGGAATCCTCCCATTCGGCTCCTGTTAACACTTCAAACCAAAGTCCTAACTGACGGGTTGGGTGGTCCTAGCTGGACAAGCAGCAGGAAAGCTTGCCAGACATCAATCGGCAAGCTATTGTGGTTTTAGCTGGTTAGACTCCAGCAGTTACCCCAACGCACCCTCTGGGCTCCCCCACCAAGCTCTTGTCAACCTGCGCCTAATACTCTCTGGAATTAGGTAAGCAGGGTGTGTCACTCAGAAAGAAAGAGAGTGCAATCAATTCCCGACATGATTTCCACGTGTTCACGTCTCGTCTGGAGACTCTTATATGTGTCAGACGCCCGCTGGCAAAAAAAATCCAGACCAAAGAAACAGTACTGTGCATTAAAATTAAACACTTATATTTATTAAAAATAATAGTTATTCCACCAAGACCTAATGAATTATTTCCTGCTCCACTCTCGGTGTACTCTCCGTATTCTAGTTATTTGTTCAAGGGGAGAGAGGCTACAATAAAATACACAACAACTTGCATTTACACAGCCCCACCCTCCCACTCACGCAAGGTAGCCGTCCTAGAGCGCTTGATAGTGGCGGAGCACAACGCTAAGCCAGGAGATGGGGAAGGAAGGGAGGGTAAAGCGGAGGGAGGGATAGAGGGGGAGAATGACAGAGTTTTGGGCATGGTGGCTGAAAGCGCGGCCGACGATAACTGCATTACACACCTGATATTTCGGTCCTGGCACCCAATAGCCGCGGACTTGTTTGTGACATCGACATCCATGCCATACAGAGTCGTCTTGCCAACCACATGGTGGGTCCTTGTGAACTGAATGCCATCGTTAGACTAACAAAGGAGAAACAATATACCATCAGAGAGGCATCAACTACTGAAACCTGATTGCAACAATTCCCAGATCATTTTTAATAACTTGGGAGTTTAGGAGGATTTTCCCTCTCACTCCCCTCTCCCTTCCCACCACATAAAGCTGTTGGCGCCCCATCAAGTAAGGTGGTGGAGGCTGAGTCCATTGTGTGTTTCAGGAGGGAGATAGATAGGTATCTAAAAGATAGCGGCTTGAAGGGGCGTGGGCATAAGACAGGGCAGTAGGTCAGAATTTGGACTCATGACCGTGATCAGATTAAAACGGATGGTTCAAAGGGCCTTCTTCGTTCAACCTATAACAGTAATAAAACTTGCATTTTATTACTACATTTATTACATTTTATTGATAATGCCTTATCATGTCTTCAAGACGTCTCAAAGCACCTCACAGAATTATACTGTAAAGTGGAGTGACCATGTATTGTGTGAAGAGTTTTACTTTGCACAAGTCGTATTAAATGTATAGTTCCAACAGATACAACTTTTGTGGGGTTTACTGCACAAGTCCAGAGCAACAGAAAATTAAGATGAATCAAATAAAGCAGTTTACCTTCTGTGCGGTACGGAAATAAATGCTTTTGTCAGCTCCACAGCTGATTACTTTGACCAAGTCTTCACTGGCTACAGGGGGAAATGTAGGGAAAGAAACTCATTTTGTGAGAACAAATTCACCGAAGATATCATCCCTGACATTTCGTTGACAACAGTAGATCGCCCAAGTACAAAATACAAGTAGATTGAGAACCTTAAACAGCCGATGATTGCTTTATATTCTGAGTCACCGCGATATATTTAAACCATGCTTTCAATTTAAGATGCACTGGTTCCAGAAGTCAAGCACATTGCTCGTAAAGTAATAATAATCCTTGCATTTGATGCAGCGCCTCATCATGTCGTTGAGACGTCTCAAAGCACTTCACAGAATATTCTGTAAAGAGTAGGGCTCTATTTTGCGCACATGAGTGTCCAATAAATAGTTGTGGATTGAGTAACCAAATTATTTATTTAGTTGAAGGGATTATTACCCCCTGAAAGCAATCCGCCAGACGACTAATAACCGGGTGAACAGAGGTGTGTGCGCGCTGAGTAAGGAAACTTGCCTAAGGTTTCGCCCTGAACCGCCTGGGAATCGAACCCTTTTGCTTGCGAGGCAAGCACTCTAACCACTACGCTGCAGGACTCAGAAGCTACAAGGTAGTGTCATGACGAGTACTTTGGCTCCATTACCAACCAACCTGCAAACTTCACAGCAGTAATAGATGAGGAATGGTCGTCCAGTGACTGCTGCAGACTGTACTGTTTGTCCACATTCAGGATGTGGATCAGTCGGTCCCGGCTGGCTGTAGCCAGCAGTCTGATTCCTGTATGAAGAACACGCCAACGCAATAGAGTCGTCAGTGCTTTTGGAACACCAAATAGCCAACAACAACAACAAATTACACTTGCACATCTTCCCTTCATGTCGGAAAGACGCCCCAGGGTGCTGGACAGTCAGGCATTTTTGGACCCGAGCTGGGAGTTGGGGTCAGGAGGGGTGGCCAAAGGCACGGTCAAAGAGGAAGATCTTTAGATGGGACTTATAGGAGGCGAGAGAGGAGGGTGAGGCGGAGGGATTGTGGTGTAGAGTGTAAACTTTAGAGATGAGGATGTCAGCCCATATGGTCAATGGAGGGGTGAGGTTGATAGCAGAGCCTGTTCAGCCCCAAGGAGACTCTGCTTACTCCTTCCCTCTCTAAGCACTGCTGTATGCATACGATTCAGAGTTGACGGGGCAGGGGGTAAAGCTAAAGAGAGACGCAAACTGGTACCAGCTGAACAATAAAGCGTCTATGTACTCACCAGTATCAGGCTTTGAATACTCCAAGCACAAGATCTCAGAATTGTGAGCCTCGATTTTCAGTAGTTCATCCAGGAACTGGAGGTCATAGATCCTGGAAAACACAGCACAGCAGCTCAGCTCAAAGACTTACTTTTGTTCTTCTAGCATGTCTCCACGAGGCGCTATACCAAATGCAAGTATTATGCTTTATAATTAATTATTAATACAAATTCTCTGCTGTATACTATACCGTATCTTTTGTTGAGGGTGGTGGGGGGGGGGGGGTGAGGGAGAGAGTGGGGCAAAGCAGGTTAGTTTGCTTTGATCTGCTAATCTGGTGACAATGCCTCAACCAGTTAAACGTTCAAGCAGATCTTTGCATCACACCTATCCATAATAGACCGGCCTTTGTTACCTCAGGTTCCCCATCCTGTCACCCGAAGCCAAGTGCTGCCCGTCATTGCTGATGGACACAACCCGAATCCCTGCCTTAAGCTCAGAATTTCCTCCGTTTTTAGCTTCCTCGGGGCTGTTGGCTGAATCTTGTAGGTGCTGAATATTGTCATCAACATAAATCACTTTAATTAAGTCCTGCAAACGGAACAAAAGTTGCATTGATTAACATTAAAACCCATTTATCACTTAAAATAATAATAATATTAATATTAATAATCATCCTTGGATTTGATACAGCGCCTTATCATGTGGTTGAGACATCTCAAAGCGCTTCACAGGATATACTGGAAAGTGAGTTGCCTGTATATTTTTGTGGGCGAAACCGGTTTTGAGACCACTCAACAACGTGATAAGCGCTATAACAAATGCAAGAATTATTATTGATCATAAAAAACAGTGCTATCACCCAACTCTTTGGTCTCTTATCTTGACATCCTGACAGCATTTAGTGATTTGCTCAATGCAACCGCCATCCCAACAGAACTGCCATTCTAGCACACAGACAGATACACATGCAGGCAGACACACAGACCCAAGAAAGGCTGGTGGGTGAGTGGAAAAAGATGATAAAAAGCTTACAGTGCTATAAATATTCCTGTGAAACGAAGTGCGGCAAAACCCAGAGGCGCGGCTTGAATTCCACAGCCGAATAGTGTTGTCCGAGGAGCAGGTTATGAAGGACGCAGGCGGGAGGCAAGACTGGTTACCGTCTTCCAGTTGGGGATAAACCTGCCAAAGGGACACTGTCACAATTACAACAACATCAACAACACAGTACAGCCTCACTCAGGGTAGAGTCCCAGAGCGCTTGAGGTAAGAATACGAATACAAATTTTACGGGTAAAAATACAAATGAATCGGGCGGGGCTGGACGTTGTGTCTGATTTACTCAGCATCTGGGGTCAACTGGCATCCAGCAAAAGCAGCTTCCACTTGCAGTTGTTCTTACACCCTCGACATTCAAATCACCCGACCTTCCAAACCTCATCAATAACATTAATACACGACACTGATAGTTAAGGGTCAAGATCAGTTTCCTACCTACCTCTATGTTCCACACACTCGAACTGTGATAAAGCGCAGAGTAAATCTTTTTCACGTTCTTAGTGTCTTTTATATCCCACACGTACAGACTGTGGTCATTGTACACACATGACAGCCACTGATTTCGGGGGTCGAAAGCCACAGCCACAGTGTCGGGATAGATAGCGTCAGTTTTCGGGGTAAAGAGATGGCTGAAGAGAGAAGATAAAAATAAATAATAATCCTCCCGTTTGATTTAGCGCCTTATCACATCATTGAGACCGTCTCAAAGCGATTCACAGGAGATACTGTAGTGACTGCGTGATTTGTGGGCGAAACGCAGCGGCCAATTGCTCACAGCAGTGTCCCGCAAAAAGTTGTGGATTGAGTGGTCAAATGTTTTTTTTTGAGGGATTACTATCTCCGGAAAAGCGATCCACCACTAGACTGACAACTGGGTTTCAACGTACTGTTAGGTAAACAGAGGCGCGTGGATGGAGTATGTTGACTTATGTTGCCTGAGGTTTCGCCTTGACCCCGCCCGGGAACCCCGATTCTCTCGCTTGCTTGCGAGGTGAGAGCGCTAACTGCTATGCTACGGGGCTGCATTGCATTTGGTAACAGGTCAGAACTGCTTGCAATACAGCTTTCATGTTCAGAAGGATGGGCAGGGAGAGGAAGGAGAGTCGAGACCTACCCTGGCACGTTTACTTACCTTGGTTCAAGTCCAGCTGCTACATCCACACCCAGGTGATGAGGTTTGGGCAGATGGGTGATAAGCTGGAGGGTCGCGGGATCAAACAGTTTCACTGTCCCATCAGAACAGCCACAGATGATAAAATTCTCTGCCACAGTCATCGAGTTCGCAACGGATGTCTGAAAGAAAAAAAAATTGGCACAGAAAATAAACAACGTTTAGCAAACAAAAGGCAAAATACTCTGAATAATAATAATCATAATCCTTGCATTTGATGTTGTGCCTTATTGGGTCTTTGAGACGTCTAAAAGAGCTTCACAGGATGTACAGAAGATGCTGGAAATCTGAAATAAAAACTTGCGATGAAAGGTCATTGACCTGAGACGTTAACCCACTTTTCTCTCGGCCTGACCTGCTGAGGGTTCTTAGAACAACTGTATGGTTTGCGTAGAGTTTCACATTTATTGGTAATGCGACAATATCAAGGACCCGGGTTCGATTCGCAAGCGAGGCCAAACCTTCGGCAAATTCCCTACTAGGCAGCCACAGCGCATTTTCCAAACAGTGGCGGCTTAATAACCCGCAAGATGATTTAACTGATGCTTTGAAAAAGGAATTTGAGAGCAACAGAAAATTTCTCGACTTACATATCACTTGTGCACATATCTGCACGTTTACCCCAGTAAACATTTTTGACCTTCAGACGACAGAGACACTTTACCTGTAGATCCAGCCACTTGTCAAGCTGTCTTCTCGAGTTGAACTGACACAGAAGGCCGGAGCTGGTGCTGCAGAAAGTCTTGCCCTTAACACACACTACGCCACAGAACAGGTTATTGTGCAGCTCCCCCAGCAGTCCTGATCGCCCCAATAGAGGAATGGTCACATTTGCCTGCGTTCAAAGCACACACACAAAAAGAATTACATAACTTAGAGATGGAGCTTAGAGCTTAGATGGTTAACTGCGGAATAGTCTAAGAATGCAGTTGAGACAATAAGGATGTGTACTCCCACCTTGCAGGCTTTCGATTCGTTCAAGTACCAGAACTTGACGTGCCTGTGGCCAACCGTCACAAAGTAACTGCCGTCTTCGGAAAAGGAGATGGCCGTGACCTTACTGGAGACCTTGTTAGAAGCTACAATGCAGTTTTTCTGTCAAAAATAAGAGATTTTTTGTAAATACTTCGGAACACAATCATAATCCGTCATCTCAAAGCGCTTCACGGGACATACTGTAAAGTGGAGTGACTGTATTATTGAAGTGCAAAAGCTTCCCGACGCCTACATTTAGAACCTAATTTAAGATTTTCTCTCTCTTACCTTCCAATCCCAGACGTTGACGGTCTTGTTATGCTGGAAGCCCACCGATACAATATACTTCATGTTGGGGGAGAAGGCCACGCACAGCACTCCGTACATGTGGCATTGTAACTCAGCCACTTGGGTCTTCTCAGCCACATTCCACACCCGCACAGCGGGCTCGTGTCCACTCTGGAGAGGTTAAAGACACACAGGATAAATATCGTTGCAAAACAGCAATCAATCAATCAATCGTGCAATGGCAGTGTCCCACAAACAGTCATGGATTGAGTTACCAAACTATTAATTAATTTTTGGAAGGACTATTACCCCGGAATAATCGATCTGCCAGTCGACTAACACTAGGTTTCTACTTACTACGAGGTAAACAGAGGCATGTGGAGCAAGGAATCTTGCCTAAGGTTTCGCTTTGCCCGGGAATCAAACCCAAGACCTCTCGCTTGCGAGGCGAGTGTGCTATTCACTGCACTACAGGATTCCACGGATTAACAACAACAAATAACATTTGTATAGCGCCTTTCACATTGGGAGGACGTCCCAATGCGTTAGATAGGAGCTATGGTGTGGTCCAACACTCATCCCTTGCACCAGCCACGTCAATTCTGTGCGAAGCTTTCCCCTGACTGTTCTGTTTAAACACCATGATTCTGTAAACTCAATTTAGCCATTTATCAATCCCGCGCACAACTATAATCTCAGACTCTTAAATAAAAACCCACTCAACTAGCAAGCTGGGCTGTGAGATTTATGGCGCTTAGTAATGGAGAACTAACATCTGAAAGCTTTCTCTACTAATGGCGTTCAACTTTCAAACACAAACATTCCTTGACCGTTACTCAGCACACGTTCTCCAATCTTGCCCTTTTCAGATAAAGGCAGTGCCAAGAGGAGTCACTCCGCCCATAATGTGCTCAGTGTACTAAAGACTCGCAGTAGTAGTTGCTCTCTCACTCGCACGCACACACACACATACACACGCGCAGACACGCACACGCGCACAGACAAACTGTTAACTTTCTTTCACCGCCGAAAATATAACAGAGAATTTGACCGTATGACACTGAGAATATAATAATAATAATAATAATATTAATAGTAATCCTTGCATTTGATGTAGCGGCTTAGCGCGTCTTCGAGACGCCTCAAAGCGCTTCACAGGATACACTGGAAAGTGAGTTGATTGGATATCTTGTAAAGTGGATCGACTCTCCCTCCTGCACCCTCTCCGCCACCCCCCCCCCACCCTCCTCCTAAACAGCCACCTAAAATGGGGCCGCGAATGTCGGGGAAAAAAACGCTGTTAGTAAAAGGCTGCGGCAGTCTCCGCAAACCCGGGGAGGAGGAGGGATATGGGGGGAAAAGAGAGAGAGAGAGAGAAAAAAAAAATCGCACGCGCGGCACACAAAAAAAACATCTACTACGCTGCATACGTACATATGGAACAAAAAAAAAAAGGATAGTAAAGGTAAGGTACAAAACGGTCTTGAAAGTAAATAAATACTGTGTGAGCACCCGACAGAACACTAGAGAACCTTACACAGCGGTTGTTCTGTCTTTGCGTGAAATGTGTGTTTAAAAAAAGGGCCTCAATAAAAAATAAAACCCTGAAAGTCTCGAGAGCTGCTCTGCAAAGTGTAAAAACCCACTGACAATAAAAAAAAAATCGATGCGGTTTTCGGTATTAATAATAATAATAATAATCCTTAATAAATCTGATGCAGCGCCTCTCACCGGGTCTTCGAAACGTCTCAAAAAAGCGCTTCGCTGAGTACACTGTAAAGTGGAATGACTGTGTGTTTCGTGGGCAAAAAAACGCAGTCGCCGATTTGCACCCAGCAGCGTCCCGCATTCGGTCGCGGATTGAGCGGCCAAATTATTATTCTTCTTTCTTTCTTTTTTTTTTTGAAGGGATCATTACTCCCGGAAAAAGCGATCCGCCAACCGACTGACGACCGGGAAGAGTTTGTTCCGGTCAACGGTTCTTTGAATCAATCGCAAAGATTTTTGAGTGTGTGTGTGTGTAAAAAAAAAAGAGAGAGAAACCCCCAAGGTTCGGTTTGGCGACCGGGAAATCCGTGAAGGCTCGGCTCGATTCACGTCGCTGGCGTTTATTCCCCCCGCTCCGTTTCCAGTTTGTTCCTATTGTGCAAAAGTTTCCGAATCGGAGATTAAAGATTCCTTGTTCGATTCCCCCCCCCCCCCCACCCCTCTCCGAGGGCTCTCTGTCTCTTTCATCCCACTCCCGGAAACAGAGGGGGAGGTAGGGAAAGGAGGAGGGAAAAAGAGTTGAGGGAAGTAATGGGGTCTTCGTGCTTTAGACAATACCCGACACGGAAAATTAATAATAAAAATAATCCTCGCATTTGATATAGCACCTTATCACGTCGTCGAGACGCCTCAAAGCGCTTCACAGGATACACTGTAAAGTGGAGTGACTGTGTTGTGTGTTTTGTGGGCGAAACGCGGCAGCCAATTGCGCCCGGCGACGTCCCATCCCACAAGCAGTCGTGGGTTGAGCGACCAAATTATTATTTGGTTAATGTCATCCAGGCTTTGTTCCGCTGTACATCCAGGCCAGGCATAGCTCACCTCGCGCGGGGGGGGGGGGGGGGGGGGACGAGAGGTGGGAGACGTGCGGTCAACACCACCGTGCCCCTCACGCAGTGTAGCGCCCCAGAGCGCTCTCTGTGTTGCGTTTGGCATCGGAATGGCGTTGGACGCCAGACTCCAGCTCCTCGCAGACGAACGAGAAACGGACACGTCTAGCAGCCGCGTGTCTTTCTCACCGCGGCACGGAGAGAGAGAGAGAGAGAGAGAGAGAGAAAGAGAGAGAGAGGAGGAGGAAGGAGTTCGGGATCAGTAGCGCTGGCTACCTTGGCGATGGGTTACCTCGGTGCGGGCAGTGTGGGGTCGAACGGCAGATAACCGCGGGCCGTGTTGACATCAGCAGGGGACATCCCGAACCCCGTCTCGGCTAAGCCGGGGTGGCGTTCCGGGCTGACGTGGTGTAGCAAACTCCCACTGACGTTCCTCTGCCTGAGTGCCTCCTCCGCCTCCACCTGCTCCCGGCTGCCGTACGCACACCTCTCCTCCCCTGCCGTCACTCCCAGGCTCCCCCTCGTCTCTCCGCGACTTCCAGGACCAGGGCTTGATGCCGGCCTCTTGCACCTTCTTGGCCAGCTTGCGCAGGATGTCCCGGCCCGGGGTGGCTTTCAGGCCCTGGGTTCTGCCTCTAACCCCAAATCCAGCAGCTTCCGAGCTTTTCCTGCCCGCCTGAGTTACCGTGGACAGCACCGTGCAAGACCTGGGCCCGACCGGCCCCGCGGCGGGCTCGGGAGCGGCTCCCGTTCCCAGCTCGCTCCCCTCGCTCGCTCCCCTCACACCCGGCTCCTCTCTGGTCAGTCTGTAGCCGGGAATATCGCCCCGCGTTGACCGCTCGGCGTTCGACGGCTCGTGGGGTATCGATCGCAGCTGCTCCCAATCCTGTAGCGTCCGCAGGTCCTTATCTGGGTCTCTCTCGGGCTGTCCCCACCCTCCCGGATTCTCTATGTGTCGGGAAAAGATGCTCGGATGCCAGATGAGCAGCTCCCTGTTGTGGAAAAAAAACACGGAGACGGAAGTTGGGGGGGTTTGGGGGGGTGGAGGGCAGGGAGGGGGGGGGGGGGGGGGCAGAGAGACTGAATGAGCAACCGCCGAGAGTGGAGCCGGGGGCGGGCGGGGGACGTGGAGCAGGTCGGAGTCCGCTTAGCAGAGGGAGCGGACAGCTCTAATGTGGAAACACGCACACACGCACACTTATAGAAATACCCGAGAGAAACAGAAACACACACAAATAGAAAGGTGTGGGAATGAAAGGGACACACAGGTGTGAGACAGAGAGAGACACACACACACACAGATAGACACACGAGAAAAACACACACACACAGACAGGCACATGAGAAGACACACGAGAAAACACACACACACACACGAGAAGACACACACACACACACACAGACACACGAGAAGACACATACACACACACACAGAGATAGACACACGAGAAAAAACACACACACAGACACACGAGAAGACACATACACACACACACACAGATAGACACACGAGAAGACACACACACACACACACAGATAGACACACGAGAAGACACACACACAGACACACGAGAAGACACATACACAGATAGACACGAGAAGACACACACACACACACACACACAGATAGACACACGAGAAGACACATACACACGCACACACACACACACAGATACAAACGAGAAAAAACACACACACACACAAGAAGACACATACACACACACACACAGATAGACACATGAGAAAACACACACACACACAGATAGACACACGAGAAGACACACACACACACAGACACACGAGAAGACACATACACACACAGATAGACACACGAGAAGACACACACACACACACACACACACACACACAGATAGACACACGTACATACCAACAGCTAGAGAGAGAGAGAGAGAGAGAGAGAGAACGAAACATACACAAACACGGGCCAATATATCTTTGCTCCGCCTGCTGGTAAAGACCAGCTACCGCGAGCTCATCGAACCAGTTACTCTCTGCAAACTTTTGAGGGCGACTGAAGGCGCCGTCGAGGAAGAGGAGGAGGAGGAGGGTCTCGAGACAAGCCCCGGGCTGGGGAAAGGCAGCGCGAGGCGCTGTGTCAGCCTGAGGCGCGGTCGGTACCGACCTGGAAAGGCTGGAGGCAGAGCCGGCTCCTGTGGCCGAGTTTCGTGGCTGTTGCTCAGCGCCTCGCGCTCCACTGCCAACTCCTCGCTCCGGGGGGAAACCGCGATTCTCTTCAGGAGGAGGTGAAAGGGGGTTCCTGCGGACACCACACACGCACACACACGCACACACACAAGAGATCAGTCTGAGGAGGAAGCCGGGGGGGAAACAAAAATAGCCAAATATAGGAGCAGGAGGAGGCCATTCAGCCCCTCGAGCCTGTTCTGCCATTATGGCTGATCTGTACCTCAACTCCAATTACCCGCCTTTGCCCCATATCCCTTGACATCCTGACCTAACAAACATCTGTCCACCTCGGTCTCGACAATGTGAATGGATCCACAGCCATAACCCACAGCCTTTTTGTGGTGGTGGGGTGGGGGAGAGAGCGAGAGAGAGAGCTCCAGATTCCCACTAACCCTTTACAGGATGTCAGCCTGGAGCAGTCGTGCCTCGGAGTCAGAAGGTTGTGTGTTCAAGCCCCCACAGGGCTTGGAATCGCACAGTCTAAGCTGACGCTCCCAATGCAGTGCTGGGGGGGGGGGGGGGGGGAGCGGTGTGTGTTGCATTGTCGGGAGACCCCATCCGTTAAATGTCACTCACTCCCCGTCTATGGACGACTTAGGTGGACGTCAAAGATCTCCCGCGGCGCCGCTCGAAAAGAAAAGCTTCTCTCTCCCTCCCGGGAAAAACTGGCCGATAATCCCCCAAATAAAGTTGACCGTTTATCTCACAGCTGTTTGTGGGTCACTGCTGTGTGCAAAGTGGCTGCTGTGTTTCGCCCACGAAATACACAGGCACCACGCGTCACAGGGTACCCCGTGAAGCGCTTCGAGACGTCTCGAAGACGCGAAAAGGCGCTGCATCAAATGCAAGGATTGGGATTATTAGTATTATTATTATTCCTGAACACATACACATACGTTCGCCCACAAATATACAGTCAATTCACTTTACAGTGTGATCTGTGAAGCGCTTTGGGACGTCCTCCCGACGTGAAAAGCGCTATATCAAATGCAAGGATTATTATTATTATTATTATTATTATACATACTTATTTTCAGGCACTAAAATGTCTTAACCACGAGTGAGATTTTACCAGCTACAGGGACCAAAGTTGAATCTTCATCGTTCACCTTCCCAGTAGAGAGCAGCTGGGGGGGGGGGGAAAAAGAACACGAAAGCGCATTACTTGGAACGTCAAGTGCGGGTTCGAGTATTGACAGAGTATTTTAACAATCATTTATAAAAAAAATAAAATAATAATGTCGTCGGTCAATCCGCGGCTGTTTGTTGGGACGCTGCTGCGCGCAATTTTCGCCCTCAAAATGTACAGTCAGTTCACTTTACAGTTAAGCGCTTTGTGAAGAGACGTCTGGAAGTGTCAAATGCTTCAAATGCAAGGATTATTATTATTATCTCCACACTTACACTCGATGTCTGCCTTGTAACTCCCTTTGTCACCTCCTCGCATTCAGCCGCTCTGCTTTGCTGATCCTTACACTTCTTCTCTCCTGTGCAACGTAGAGACAACAACACGTCACATTTACACAACACCTTTCACGTCAGGAGGACGTCCCAAGGCGCTGGACAGTCAAGGAATTGGACCCGAGCTGGTCTTTGAGATCAGGAGGGGTGGAGGGCAGGGAGGGTGGGGGTAGGAGGGGTGACCGAAGGCTCAGTTGGTCGAAGAGGACGGTCTTGAGAAAAGAGTCAGAGGGGAGACCAGAGCAGGGGAGTGGGACTTGTTGGGGTAAACGTAGGGGAGTGGGGACTAGTTGGTGGCTCTTTCAAAGAGCCGTCGCAGGCAAAATGGATCGAATGGTCTCCTTCTGTGCCGTAACATTCTGTGATGTCCAGTTCTGCTCTAACAGATTTCCGGAGGAGCTTTATTCCCGTCGGCTGCTGTTAGCAGTACTGTAGAGCCAGGCGTGACTTACCGGACAGGACTGAGATGATCTTGAACAACGCCCTGTGCTTTTTCATCAGCAGCTTTTTCTCCACCGCCAATTTCTGCGCCTTTTCGTTCAAGGCCTGGATTTCATTGATGGCCTGCGGGACAGAAGCCGGTGCCCATCAGTGAGCCTTCTCAAAACTGTCATAACAATAATTGGTCACTCGATCCACGACTGTTTGTGGGACACCGCTGTGCGCAATTGGCCGCACACGTTTCGTCCATAAAATACAACAACTCGCCTTTACGCCCCACCCTTCACACAGGGTAGCGTCCGGAGCGCTTGATAGTGACGGGAGTACGATGCCGAACTGGGGAGGTGAGCATATGCAGCGTGGAATTGGAAGGCCTTCAGGTGCAACCTGAAAATGGGGAGGGAGGAAGGAAGGAAGGAGGGAAGGAAGGAAGGAGGGAAGGAGGGAAGGAAGGAAGGAACGACGGAGGGAGAGAGTGACAAGAGCTTCGGGGACTATTGACTGAAAGTGCGACCACTTGAATAGAGTGCACGAGGGACAAGCAGCAGGTCGGAGCTAAGACAGAGGGTAGTGGGTTGGTGAGTAAGTAGGTGGGAGAGGTAGGGAGGTACCAGGGCACGAAGGGATTTGAAGACGAGTGTGAGGGATTGGGGGAGAGTGTTCCAGAGTTCTGATCGCTTCCTGGGGGAAATAATTCCTTCACAAAAAAATCCCCCCAAATAATAATTTGGTCACTTCAATCCACGGCTGCTTGTGGGGACGTCGCTGGGCACATTTGGCGCCCACAAAATACACAGTCACTACACTTTACAGTGTGAAACGCTGTGAGACGTCTCGTTATGATCGGGCGCTGAATCAAATGCTAGGATTATTATTACTTTGATTAATAAATAAAGGGTGAAGGATCGAAGGCTGACCTCGTTCAGGATGGCCCGCTTGGAAACCTTCTCGTACTTGAAGAGAAGTTCTCTCAGCCCATTGAAACGAGTCTGCATCAACCGTCGTAGCTCTCGCTCCCGCATAGTGTGTCTCAGGAGGTTCTTCCTGCTTCTCCTCAGCTCCAACGGAAAGGTCTTCCCGGTTTAAACACAAATAATATAAATAATAATGATCCTTGCATTTGATATAGAACAGCAGAACAGGCTCGAGAGGCTGAATGGCCTACTTCTGTTCCTGTGTTCCTATATAATAATATAATCCTTGCATTTGATATAGCGCCTTATCACATTGTTGGGACGTTTCACAGCGCTTTACAGGATACACTGTAAAGTGTAGTGACTGTGTGTTTTGTGGGCCAAACACGACAGCCAACTGCGCCCAGCGACGTCCCCACAAACAATCGTGGATTGAGTGATCAAATTATTATTGTTTAATTTTTTTTGAAGAGATTATTACCCCCGGAAACGCGATCTGCTAGTCGTCTAATAGCCAGTTTACTGCTCGGTAAACAGAGGCCTGTGCGGAGTAAGGAAACAGTTCACCCTGACCTGCCTGGGAATCAGACCCAGGTCCTCCCGCTTGCGAGGCGAGTGCTCTAACCGCTGAGCTACAGGACTCCACGATAGTCTTGATCCGTCGCCGCACGTGCACTTACCGGCTGCAATGAATAGCGCACGCACAGTGTAGGTTATGCCGTGCGACCCTGACTTACCCTTCTCTTGGTCGGGTGTCTGTGAGATTGTAACATGGGCACTTGAGAATAATTGTGAAAATGCCACCTGTCAAACAAGATTGACGTGCATTAGTTTTCACCCCAATAACTTGCATTCTCATCACAGCATTCAGACGACGTAGAGCGCTTCACGGGCTGATGCCGTAGAACGTAGTGACTGTGTGTCATTGCAGCTAACTTGCAAATGGAGCAACGTCCCACACGTAGCCGTAAAGTGTACAAACTGTAACGCAGGTGAGGGAGGGAGGGAGGAGAGCCAAGCGAAGGGATTGTGGAGTTCCAAAGGGTTGGGGGGGGGGGGGGGGCAGAGAGGCTGAAGGCCCTACCGCCCGATGGTGGGGTGGGGGACATGGAGCTACTGACCTGGGAGGGGCACACAATTTGCTGACGGCTAAAGACACGGGAAGCCCGTCCTCCACCTCACCCTCTTCCATCTCCATGTCGATGTACTCGCTGTCCGAGTGGCTCTGCGGGTTTCGGTGAAAAAGCAGAAAGGCAGCCAGTGATTATTTGCCAACCATTTTATCAATTGCCCGGATTTAGGCGTCAACTAAAGAAACGACGACGACGACGACAACGACAAGTGGCATTTATACCGCGCCTCTCGGGGCAAGAGGACGGCCCAAGACGCTGGACAGTCAGTCAAACGGGTAATTCACAATAATCCTGTAATAATCCTTGCACTTGACGCAGCGCCACGTGGTTGAGACGTCTCAAAAGAGCCTCGCTGGGAAGTGGATCGACTGTGCGTTTTGTGGGGGTGGGAGGGAAACGCGGCAGCCAATTGTACACGGCGACGTACCACACACACACGCACGTACACACACCACACATGCATGGGCACACCGCGGTCGATGTCTAACATACCAGTATTTCCACGTCAATCTCGTTGACATCCTCCGCGGTCAGATCGAAGTCGGAGTGGCTGCCCCAGTCCGAGCTGCCCACGGACGATCCCTGCACCGAGGCGAAAGCGGCTTCCTCCTGACGCTCCCACTTCTTCCTCTCGGCTCCGAGCGGGTCGGACTCAGCGGCTGACTCCCCGTAGCCCGGCTCTCCCAGCCTCCGTCCGGCTGCAGAGCAGCGAGCTCGCCGGCGCTCAGCCGCACCCTCGGACACCCCTCCTCCGCCTCCTCCTCGTCCTCCAGGTCCTTCCCAACACCCTCCAGCTCCTCCGACAGAAAGGAAGCCATTTCACCGTTGGTCGGGAGCCAGCTGGTGTCAAAGGCCGTCGGATAAAACAGGTCCCTCTCCACGGGCGAGGTCTTGACGGTCGGAGCCGACCGGAGCTGCTCCCCAGGGAAACCGCAGTGGCTCAGCTCATCTCCGAGAGCGCTGGGCTGATGGGTGGATGTGTGACGGATGGCGCCGGCCGTGTGGAGCTGCAGACCAGCCCGCTCCACCTCGTCCCGCCTTTCCGCTGGGCCGCTGGCGTCCGGTGCGACTCTCGCCGCCAGCGCGGGAGCTACGTGGCGTGGCTTGTCGGGGCTGCCCTGAAACAGCAGCTCGGGGGGCTGACTCGCAGACGCGCTGTGGCTACTGTTGTGGTGGGGGTTGTTGTCGTTGCTACCACGAGTGGCGATGGCCCTCACCGCGCTCGGCGTTTCCGGTAAGCCGGACACACAGGACATTCCCGCCGGGTTAGAACCCGGAGCGCAGCCCAGCGGGGAAGCGGACGCCAGTGGACTCGCTCTGCCCGTCGGCGTCGTTGCTGCTGAAGAGAATAAACTGGTGCATTAAAACCACGCATTAAACAACAACACTTGATATTTACGCGGCGCCTTTCACAGAGTCGGGAGGAAGTCCCAAGGCGCTGGACAGTCGAGATCTGCACCCGAGCTGGTGGTTGGGATCAGGGGGGGTGGAGGATGGGGAGGATGAGGGTAGGAGGGAGTGGTCGAAGAGGAATAATAATAATAACTGTATTTGACACAGCGCCTGATCACATCTTCGCGACGTCTCTAAGCGCTTCACAGGATACGTTGTAAAGTGGAGCCACTGTGTGTTTGTGGGCGAGACGTCTTTCCGGTTGTGAGCCTTACCGGAGAGACGTATAAACCTTTCCATCAATTCCTTTTGCTT